TCTACTTTTCACACTAGACTGGGGAAGTAGGGATGTGACACTTTCTCTGTGGGATTTGTTCTGAAATCCTCTCTTGCAGGTATTGCCTGGCTGTGCTGTGATGCCCGACGCCCAGTACGGATGCAGGCACTCACTTATTTGCAGCGGGCTCTCCTGGTACATGACCTGCAGGCCCTGGATGCCCTGGAATGGGAGTCCTGCTTCAACAAGGTAATCTTCAGGCTGGGCTGGGTTGGGCATGTAGGCAGGACAGCATTGTGATGAAGAGCAAAACCCTGTGGGAGTGGCAGCAGTCTTCTTGAGCAGCTTGTTTACCAGAACAAACAAGGCGTTCCCTACTCTATTCTTGTGAAAAGTTATTCTCTGCTTAGGCTTCTGACTGAGCCTCTTGGAATATCAGAATTATATTCACTTCCCATTGCTTCTTCCATAGTCTCTGCCTAGCTGCCACCAGTCCCAAAAGCCAGCTGCTTCCTGTAAGGTGTCTGTGCAAATCTCGGTCATTATCAGTCATTTTTCAGCTCTGAAATATCAGTGTATCTGATCCAACAGGTGCTGTTCCCTCTGCTAACCAAGCTACTTGAGAACATCAGCCCTGCTGATGTTGGTGGGATGGAAGAAACCAGGATGAGAGCCTCAACACTACTCTCCAAGGTATGCATGCATCTGCTGCCTGAAAGCTCAGGGTAAACCATGTACCTCAAGAAGACCAAAGTGTTTGCTGCATTAACTTCTCAGCATCTCTGATCTCGATAGGTGTCAGTTTGCTAGTTTGACTATTTCCAGTGCTGAGCTTCTCCACCACCTTCTGCTGTTTAGATGTGCCTTCTTTCCAGAACTGTTTCTGTGATCCTAGGCTTTGGAAAAGTTGTCAGGAAGGAGTTTTTGACTAGGAAGGATGGAGAGACAAATATTACATGCAACAATAGTTGAAAACAGTCTGTTCTAGTGGTGATGCATATCACAAGCTGATAGTACTGACTTAAAGCAGAGTGTATGGAAGGGCTGGAAGACATGATGATGTAGACTGCAGTGGCCTCGTGCAAAGGAGGCAAGATCCACTTCTCTACACAGGCAGCTCAGAAGAGTGGAGGCCTCTGGCATCCTCAGGCTGGGTGTGTGCATGCTCCCAGCCAGCCACAAGGAGGGGGAATTCCAGATTGTCATGACTTGCTTGTCAAACTAAGCAGCAGCCCTAATACTACTTGTTGACCGCAGTTGTGGTTTTTTTTCTAGGTGTTCCTACAGCATCTCTCCCCACTGCTCTCACTGACCACCTTTGCTGCCCTGTGGCTCACAATCCTGGACTTTATGGACAAATACATGCATGCTGGCTCCAGTGACTTACTGGTAGGGTGGTGAGAGTGCTGCCACAATGCTTTTAACAAGCATTAATCATTTTTAACCTTCTAAACTTGAAAGGTGCTTTGTTTTGTTGTTTTAACCTTTTAATCCTTCCAAAACCATTTTGTCCCATGGTCTCTCCCCTTGACCTCTGTTTCCAAGGTAGCTCATCAGCTGTTTTTGTTTTTGTTTCATATTGCCATATGTCCATCCTCTGTATCCTGAGGAGTGTCTCTGATTACAGCTGGAGGCCATCCCAGAGTCTCTGAAGAATATGCTGCTTGTAATGGATACAGCTGGGATATTCCACAGTGCTGACTCACGGACGGGATACTCAGATCTCTGGGAGATCACCTGGGAGCGAATTGACTGTTTCTTACCTAGGCTGCGGGATGAGCTCTTCAAACAGACAGTCATCCAAGGTACAGGGGGCTGAGAAACCTCAAAGAAACAGGTCTTGGACCCAGTGCTTGCACTTTGTCCAGTACCCAGCTGCCATAGTGCCTGGATGTTGATGAAATGATAGATGCAGGAGGCTACGGAGCTTGGCACAAGGAGAGCAAACTGAGGGTGGGTGAAAGGACTGAGCAAACTGGTGTGTGGGCTCACTGATCGTTTTGTTTTCTTAGATCCTGTCCCCAGCATACCGATGGAACAGCAGCATCAGAAATCAGTAGTGTCTGCCTTGCCCCCTTCTCCTGCAGAGGATGTGAGACCAGCCACCCACCTGGGTCCTTTGGAGAAGCCCTGTGAACTAGCTGCCAGTGGTGAGTCTCATTTTCTACTTTATGGAATTGGATTCCTGGCATGGTGGTGTGGATCTGCTTTTTCTTGGGTTTAGTATGAACTCCAGTGGCCAGGCCTCCGGTGTTGTGGAACTGTTGTAATTCCAAATGGGTGGGTTGTGACCTTTTTGCTGAGGTTATTGGGGTGGGCAGAGGTTGGGGTAGAATGCTTGTGATAGCCTATGCTCCTCAGGGCCTCATATGAATGTATGGGGAAGGGGCAAGTCTGAAAAGGCCCCTGAATTGACCTTCAACCCTGCCTAACTTTGATCTGAAAGGTGACTTTGTAAGGGCCTGTGTAAGGTTGTATTTTGTCTCTTCCTTTTTCCAGAGTCTGAGAGAGCCACTGCACCTGCCTCACCCACCATCAGCACCTCTGCCTCTCCTTCTTTCCCAGCATCAGCTCCAGCAAAGACAAGCCCCGTTACAGACATGCCTCCTGCAACAGCACAGCCTCCTCTCTTCCTGCAGCCACTTGCCTCTCCTCTGCAGGTGGGGGTGCCACCTATGACTCTGCCAATCATTCTCAACCCAGCCCTAATTGAAGCCACCTCTCCTGTTCCCCTCTTAGCTACTCCACGGCCCACTGACCCCATGACAACGTCTGAAGTCAATTAGTTTGGGGGTGTCTGAGAATGTCTGCTGAGGAAGCTCTGTGGGTGGAGGATGCTGGCCAAATGTTCTCTGGCAGTGGGCATGTTTTTTTTAAAAGATGATGCTAACCTGAGCAGAAAGGCTGCTGGCACAATTCCCCTGGAGCACATCACATTCTGCTCCCTGCTTGGGGCAACCACCTAGAAATCTGCCTAGAAATCCCTGTCTTCTTGGAGGGGTGCCTGGTTCCACTGAACAGTCTCCTTCCTGCCTTCACAATCTCAGGGGCCAGGCAATGCCCACACCCAGCAGCCTGGGACCAAGCTGCCACCAGTTCATCTGGTGAAGGGGGAAAACTCTTGGATGTCACACTAGTGAGGGGCTGTAGTACAGGACTGCCTCTCAGATTATTCATTTCAGTCCCTGGATGATTCCCCAGCCATTCCCTAGCTTTTCTGCCCATGCTTCTGGTTGCACAGTTTTGTTTGGGGTCTGGGCATGCATGGGTTCAGCA